CAATTGAAATGACATTTAAAAAAATTATCTTATCTTTTAGAAAGTTCAGTTCAGCTGCTTAGTCGTGTCTGACTCTTTGCGACCTCACGGACTGCAGCATGCCAGGCTTCCCTGTCCATCACCAATTCCCGGAGCTTGCTCAAACTCATGTTCATCAAGTTGGTGATTCCATCCAACCATCTCATCCTCTGTCGTCCCCTTCTCCTCTTGCCTTCAATTTTTCCCAGCATCAGGGTCTTTTCCAGTGAGTCAGTTCTTCGCATCAGGTGGCCAAAGTATTGGAGCTTCAGCATCAGTCCTTCCAATGAATATTCAGGGTTGATTTCCTTTAGGACTGACTAGTTTGATCTCCTTTCTGTCCAAGGGACTCTCAAGAGTCTTCTCCAACACCACAGTTCGAAAGCATCAATTATTTGGTGCTCAGCCTTCTTTACGGTCCAACTTTCACATCCATACATGACTATTGGAAAAACCATAGCTCTGACTACATGGATCTTTGTCATCAAGGTGATGTCTCTGCTTTTTAATATGCTATCTAGGTTGGTCATAGCTTTTCTTCTTTTAATATGCTGTCTAGGTTGGTCACGACTTTTAGAAAGTCAGCTTGGCAATAGACCCAACATAGTCAACACAATATTCAAGAAGAATAAAGTTGGGAGGACTGATGCTACTTGATGTGATACCAGTGAAAGAATATAAAATAGACCAGTGGAACAGAATAGAGCCCAGATAAAGACCCACACATGTAGTCAACTTATCTTTGACAAAGGAACAAAGAAAATTCAGTGGAGAGGAGAATCTTATCAACAAATGGAGTTGTAACAATTAGACATCCACATGCAAAAAAAGTGAAGTTAGACACAGATCTTGCACCTTTCACAAAAATTTTCTCAAAATAGATATCACAGCCCTAAATGTAAAACTATGGCAGAAAGTTAAAAAGAACTAAAGAGTCTCTTGATAAAACTAAAAGAGGAGAGTGAAAAAGTTGACTTAAAACTCAACATTCAGGAAACTAAGATCATGGCATCTGGTCCCATCACTTCATGACAAATAGATGGGGAAACAATGGAAACAGTGACAGACTTTATTTTGGGGGGCTGCAAGATCACTGCAGATGGTGACTGCAGCCATGAAATTAAAAGATACTTGCTCCTTGGAAGAAAAGCTGTGACCAACCTAGACAGCATATTAAAAAGCAGAGACATTACTTTACCAACAAAGGTCCATCTAGTCAAAGTTATGGTCTTCCAAGTAGTCATGTATGGATGTGAGAGTTGGACTGTAAAGAAAGCTGAGCACCGAAGAATTGATGCTTTTGAACTGTGGTGCTGGAGAAGACTCTTGAGAGTCCCTTGGACTGCAAGGAGATCCAACCAGTCCATCTTAAAGGAGATCAGTCCTGAATATTCATTGGAAGGACTGATGCTGAAGCTGCAACTCCCAATACTTTGGCTACCTGATGTGAAGAGCTGACTCATTTGAAAAAACCCTGATGCTGGGAAAGATTGAAAGCGGGAGGAGAAGGGGACAACAGAGGATGAGATGGTTAGATGGCAACACCGACTCAATGAACATGAGTTTGAGTAAGCTCCAGGAGTTGGTGATGGATAGGGAAGCCTGGCATGCTGCAGTCCATGGGGTCACAAGGAGTCAGACACGACTGAGTGACTGAACTGAACTGAAACATAAAACACAAAACTGTAAAACTCCTTGAAGACATCATAGGAGAAAATATAAGTGGTTTTGGGGTTGGTGGTGACTTCAGGGTTGGTGGTGACTTCTTAGATACAATATCAAAAGAAAGAACTGGTAAATTGGACTTCATTAAAATTTAAAACTTCTACTCTGTAAAAGACACCATTAAGAGAATGAAAAGACCCATCACAGACTGGGGCAAATCTTTACAGAACACAAACCTGGGGCTTCCCTGGTGGGTCAGTGGTAAAGAATTGCCTGCCAGTGCAGGAGACATAGGTTTGATCCCTAGTCTGGGAAGATCCCACATGCCTTGGGGCAACTAAGCCTGTACACCACAGCTACTGAGTCCACATGCTGCAACTACTGAAGTCCGCGCACCCTCAAGCCCGTGCTCCACAGCAAGAGACGTCACTGCAGTGAAGCCTGGGCACAACAACTAGAGAAAAGCCCGCATAGCAAAGACCCAGCGTCGCCAAAATATATAAATAAATAAAATTATTTTTTAAAGACAAAAAAAAGACTTAAAAAAAAACACCTGCAAATCTGATAAAGGCCTGACATCCAAAATATTCAAAGAACTCATGAAATTCAGCAATTAAAAAAATCCAAAAAAAAAAAAGAAACATCCAATTTAAAAACAGTCAAAGATCTGGACACCATACCAAAAGATGTGCAGATGTCAAATAAGCATATGGAAAGATGTTTAACTTCATACCTCATAATGAAGTTTCAAATCAACATAACGATGATACCACCATTGCTTGTTGGAATGGGGGAAACCTAAAACATTGACAACACCAAATGCTGGTGAGGATGTAGAACAACAGGAACACTCATTCACTGAAAACAGGAATGCAAAATGGTTCAGCCACTTTGGAAGACATTTTGGCAGTTTCTTTCAAAACTAAAAATACTCTTACCATATGATCTAGCAATTGTGCTCCTTGGTATTTACCCAAAGGAGTTGAAAATTTACATCTACACAAAACCTGCACATGAATGTTTACTGTAATTATATAAACAACTAAATTGGTAAAACTTGGAAGCATAATTGCTGAAACTTAAAAGCAACCAAGATGTCCTTCAATAGGTGAAAAGAAGTCAGCTCCAAGAGAGTAGGAATTCTGATTTGTTCCCTATTGTATCTTCAGCATCTAAAACAGGGTTTGGGTAAAGGAGACCCTTGATAAATATCTGGTGAAAGAATGTGCAAGACAAGAATATCTTTTTAAAGTAATCTGTAACACTGCCCTTTCTCTTGCTCCAACATCGCAATTTCTGTTAGTTTTACCTTCTTAAATCTATTCAAAATTTGACTACTTCTCATCACCTCCATGGATCTGCCCTAAGTCAAGTCACAGTCATTTTGCACCTAAATTATTCCAGTTACCTATCACTGGCCTCCCTGTTTTCAGTCCAGCCTTTGATAATCTATTCTCTACTCAGCAGCCAGATGGTGGCAGTTTGGTCACTAAGTCGTGTCCGACTCTTGGCGACCCCATGGAGTGTAGCCTGCCAGGCTCCTCTGTCCATGGGATTCTCCAGGCAAGAATACTGAAGTGGGTTGCCATTTCCTTCTCCAGGGGATCTTCCCAACCCAGGAGTTGAACCCAGGTCTCCTGCATTGTAGGCAGATTCTTTACCAACTGACCTACAAGGGAAGCCCAGCAGCCAGAGGAAGGCTTTTAAAACTTCTGTCTAACGGACTATGGTGGTTTAGTCACTAAGTCATGTCTGACTCTTGAGACCCCATGGACTGTAGCATACCAGGCTCCTCTATCCATGGGATTCTCCAAGCAAAAATACTGGAGTGGGTTGCCATTTCCTTCTCCAGGGGATTTTCCTGACCCAGGAATCGAACCCCAGGCCCCAGGTCTCCTGGATTGCAGGCAGATTCTTTACTGATTGAGCTACGAGGGAAGCCCAATGGACTACACTTCTAAAAATGGCCAGACAGGAACACTTTTCCACTTTGCAGGCCATATGGTCTGGATTGCTTCTGGAGGAGCAGCCCTGTCCTAATAAAACTTTATTAACGATAATCCCGGAACTTCCCTGGTGGTCCAGTGGTTAAGACTCCATGCTTCCATTGCAGGGGGCACAGGTCCCATCCCTGGTCAGGGAACTAAGCCACAGCCACAAGCCACAGCCCATTCCACCCACCCCCCATCAAAAAAAAAGCGCCTCACTCTGCAGTAGTCAATTCCTGTCGCTCCTCATGGGTAACTATCACCCAACGTCCCATCACCTGTCTAACTGTATCTCTTATTATTTCCCTCTTACCCATGCTTGCTCCAGCACAGTCCTCCCTTTGCAGCTGCTGTTTCTTGGCCTGGAATGTAGTCCTCCCTACCCTCATGGTTCACTTATCATCTCCTCCATGAAGCCTTCCCTGACCCTCTGATCTAAACTGGCCATCTGCCACACTCTCCCTATTTTTTCCCCCAGAACACTCAGCATCCCCTGACTACCATATGTTCCTTAGTTTACAGACCTTCTCTTAGAATGTCAGTTCAATGCTTTTGATACCATGCTTTTGGCCCATGCAGGGCCCTGTGGGGGTCCTGGGCTTAAGACCTTTCTGTGGCCCCCGTTTCTTTGATTACAGGAAACAACATTCACTCAGCCTCCATGCTTCCCAGAGTTCCAATGGGCTGATTCAAACAGTTGTTAGGGAAAGGAAGAGATGGGAGACCAGGGAGAAACAGTCAAAAGTAGCCTTGGGGCAAAGTCCTATTTTCCTATCAGGGGATATACACAACAATATCTTTGAGCTATTTCTGCAGATACTGACACCCCTTCCAGGTGGGAGAAGCTGATGATTAATGATGGTAGGCTGCCCACAAACAGGTAGACCCCAGACCAGCTGGACTTGAAGGCTAATGCCGACTCCTACTTCCCTCACCATCAACCCCTCAGAACAATGCAAGCCTGTCACTACCTTGATCCTTATCACCTACCCTGACAACGAACCCTGTCTATAAGACCTTTCCAAAGGAGGGGGGGGGTGTAATTCTTGAGGTGCTAATCTACTGTTTCCCTCTTTGTCTGGCAAAGAAAGAAAGCCACTCTTCCTCCTCCATAACTCTCTGTATTTCTGTTCAGCATCAGTGCACAGAGAGCCAAGATTTTGGCATCACTGTGTCTCCAGTGTTTCCATCCCAGGCACATGGGAGATTGTGGACGATTATGTGCAACAAATGCACCAAGAGCAGACACTGGAAGGGTCTGGAGGAAGAAAAGGGTAAACGAGGGACTCACGGGTCTGTTTGGGTCCTTTGGACCAGGTTCTTCCTCACCTAGCTGGCCCTTGACAAGCCTCCTCATCGCGGCTCTCCTCACCCTGCTGCTGTTCCTGGTTCTCCCCCAGCAGCTGTGGCTCCTGGTCCTTGAACTCTACGTGGGGCATGTCCACCTGTGAGCACAGCTAGCGCTTGAGAGGTCAAAGGAGGGAGGGAAGGAGGGCAGGAAGTGGTCGGGCCCCCCCTCCTCCCTCCCCTTCAACCCTGGGCACCTCTGTGTGCTGCTGCGGCATGTTGCGGACCTGCAGGAGAGATGGGCGGGGCTGGGATGGGCACCACGAGGACGGGGGCGTGGACCGGGGGGACCCTGTGCCTGGAGCACAGGAGGACTGAGGTGGGGAGACCTGGAGGGGATGGGGTGAGGACTGGGGTTCCTGCTGGGGTGCTAGGGTGCCTGGGCTCCTAATTGGTGTGTGAGTCGGCTCGAGTCCTTCGAGGAGAGAGAAGTAGGAGAAACAGAAGAGAAACGGGTGCGGTGCCTGCGTGTCTGTGTCTTTCTCTACCCTACTCCTGCCACGCGCCATGGGTGGAAGTCGGTCCTTCTGGCCGGGGCTGTCAGCGCGTCAGTCACACAGTCGGTTAGTCAGGGCCCGGAAGGTCAGTCAGGAAATCAGGGCCCAGCCGGGCGAGGAGCGGCCTGGATGGCAGGAGACAAACGGCCGGTCTCGGGATCGTCGGGGAAGCCCAAGTTCGCTGCCGTTCCCTGCCCGTCAGCCCGCCGCCCGCGCGAAGGAAACAAGTGCAGCGTACTCCCTGTCGCTCCATTCCGTCTTTTCCCGCCTTCTCGTTCGTGCCCTCTGCGTACACGCTGGCCCCGCCCCCGGAACGCTCCGCCCCCACGCCTGTGTAGCGGCGCGAACCTTCGGCCCCGCCTCTTTCCGCGAACTTGCGCGCGCAGCGGGGCAGGGGCGGCCGTTATTAAGTGTCGGTTGGGCTGTCCAGGCGCTGCGTGCGCAGCCCGCACAGCCGAGAGGAGCCGGTGGTTTCTGTGCTCGCGTGTGCGCATGTGTGAGGCGGCACCAGGGCACAAGATGAGTGGCGGAATACCTTGGACCGTGTGTTCATTCGTGTTTCAGTTCATTTCTCATCTGCTTAACCCAAAGAAATCTTGCCAATAAAAAATTCTGACTTTTGCTGTCATTTGATTACGACCTACTGCCCTTACTGAAAAAAGCTGATGTAATTACCACCTTGAATCAGTTATCTGCGCTCCAAAACCAGAAGCTCCTTGCAAGCATGGTGGCGCTGGCCCTTATAGAGTTGAGCCCATACCCTTCAATGATAATAGTAATAATGAATAGTGACAACAGTAGTCATAATTGGCACACGAGGAGAAAATATTTAAGAACTTGTATCCAGTATCCACAAAGACCTCTTGGAACTCAGTAAGACACAAAATATAAAGGGGGCGGCAGGAGGGGGACAGACGATTTGAAACGGTGTGTGCAAAGGCCCGGAGGTCTGAGCAAGCTCTGTGTGTTTGAGGAGCAGTCGGGTCTGGTGGGGAGCGCAGGGATTGGCGGAAGCAGTTGGTGAAGGATGAAGAGTTTGGTAGGGGCTGGGCTGAGTCAAGGTCAAGGTCTGGGACTTTGTCCCAACTGATCGCAGAGAAAGTGGGTGTTTCTTATGCTTTGTATCATACATGCTTCACCCTCACTTGTTTTTACTTTTTACATGGCTTCTACCCCTCCCTTCATTTCTGTATTTGTCACCGTGTCCAAGAGGGGAAGACAGCTGGGATTCCACCCCCCACCCCCAAACACACACACACATGCTCAGCCCTTCTGTTCAGGGCTCTGTCCCTGGCCACACACCCTAGAGCACACCCTCTTTACACCTATGTTCTGGAGGGGTTTGAATCTGGGCTGTCTCTTACCAATAACAGGGGTGATCATTAAACTGCCACTTACTCACAAAACTCATCTTTGTCTATTACCAAGGTGATAAAATCTAAAAGAGAGACTCTTTGTAAGGGTTTCAGGGGTAAACATCTGGAATACATTATTCAGTTTAATGAATAGCTAACATTAGTATCTTGTGGCAGAGCTAAAGATGTTACATCTTCCTGCAACAACAGATTTGAAGATTTGAGGATTATCTACAGAGAGAAATCTCAGACTTAACTTCTAAACATGAACACACAAACACAACGACCAAATCAAAACAAAGGCAACACAGGGACTTCCCTGATGGTCCGGTGGCTCAGACTCCGAGCTTCCACTTCAGGGGACATGGGTTTGACCCCTGGTTAGGGAACTAACATCCTGCAAGTGGCCAAAAATTAAGAAAACAAAACAAAGGCAACACAGAAGGTGCAGGATGATTTTTATGGTGCACGGTTTGTGTAACTTTTTTGAAAACATGCAAAAGGAAACCATGTCTTGTTAAAGTAACATGTAAATAGCAAAAGTTTAAAAGCACAAGAGAATGATAAATACCAAATTCAGGAGGGGGCAACCTTAGTGGGGTGGGGGGCACAAACAAGGACAGCTCATAAAGGTCTTCAAAACATTAGTCACAGAGATCTAAGAAGTGAAAGATCCAGTGCAAATATCTGTTCAGATTCAAAAGAACTAGGGGTGGATTCTTGGGTGTTTATTATGCTTTGTATTATGTTTCATCCTCACTAACTTTTACATGGCTTCTACTTTTCCCTCCATTTCTGTATTTATCTGTTCATCCACAGAAAACAGTGTCAGCTCTTAAAGGCAGGGACCTAAAACAACTTTGCCTGCTGCTGGCACTTAAAGAGATGCACCTTTATTGAATGAAGAAATATTTTTCTCTATGACTGTATTCTTTACTTTGAAATAAAAGATTTGAGTGAGGAGCCCTTGTAAGATTGGTAACCCCAGGCCCTGAGACCAAAAGAACCCAGCTGACTGCTAACTGCACTGGGCATAAAAGTGACTTCACGGTTACATAAGAAACCGTCCATGTTTCCAAAAGTGCACTGCACTGGGGTGGGTGGTAAGATCGCTGGGACTTCCTGGCCTAGTGGCACATAGGATCTTAGTTCCCCAATTAGGGATCTAACCTGCACCCCCTGCACTGGAAGCTTGGTGTTAACCACTAGACCACCAGGGAAGTCCTAGGATTTGCTTTGAAATATTTCCACATAAAACAGGTGTGCTCACTAGTCGGTGTGAGTGGTAAGCTCATGGAACTTTTATCCTGTTCACTCATGTTTCTATTCTGGGCTCATATGAAATCCTTATGAGATTTTTTTTTTACAAGAGTAGCTTTTTAGGGGGAGGACAAAGGGATGAATTCGTGGGACACAGGGGACTTTTTAAGAAATTTATGAAACATTAGGATATCATAATACAGGGCATCATGCGTTTGTGCTCAGTCACTATCGTGTCTGACTCTGTGACCCTTTGGACTGTAGCCCGCAAGGCTCCTCTGCAGATTTCTCCAGGCAAGAATACTGGAGTGGGTTGCCATTTCCTCCTCCAGGAGATCTCCCCGACCCAGGGATCAAACCTGCATTCCTGCATTGGCAAGAGAATGGATTCTTTAGCAATGAGCCACCAGGGAAGCCCATGTCATCACACATTTATCCAAACCCACATACAACATGGGGAGTCAACCGAAATGTAAACTATGGACTGTGGGTGATTACAATGCACCGAAGCAGGGGGTCATGAGAAATCTCTGTACCTGTCACTCAATTTTGCCATGAACCTAAAACGAAACTGTTCTTTAACAACAACAGAAAGCAGTTTTAAAGGCTCAGCTTGGGACGTCCCCGGTGGTCTAGTGGTTAAGAACCTGCTTTCCAATGCAGGGGACCTAGGTTCAATCCCTAGTCAGGGATCCTACATGCCATGGGGCAACCAAACCCTCAGGTCACAACAAAGACCCAGCACAGCCAAAAGTAAATAAATAAGGCTATCCACCCAATCCCAGCAATGCCTGACTCCCAGTTGGTGGTAATCCTGGCTCCCAGGGCCCCACCACCACCCTGGCCTCCCCTTTCACAGGGGTAGGGGGTTCTGTTCCCTTCACTTAGAAGAGATCTGGCACCAGGAAGTGAATCGGTGAATGCTTGATGGAGCCAGTCTTCTCTGGTGGGTATCTGGCTCAGGCTGGCCAGGAGATCCCCAGGATCCAAGACCTCCAACCCATCATGTCTTATACCCGGGGCTCCAGCACCTTCCACCCCTAAGGAAAGGCACCAGATGAGGGCACATGCCCACTTTATTAGCCAACAGCTGGCCTGCATGGTTCCCCAAGGCCCACCCTCACAGGTGGACAACAGAATGAACCTGCTACCTGCTCCCTTGGGGCTGATCGGGATGAGGAGATACCAGGGGCAGGGGGATGGGCCTCACAGAGGCCTCATAAATACAAGGGGGTCACTGGCAGAGATGCAAGAGGGGGCAGCAGGGTCTTGGGGAAGGTGGCCTATGGGGGGCGGCTCATGTCACGCGGCCTCTTGTGTCGAAGGGGGCCCCCGTTCGGCGTCCAGGCGGCACAGGGGACTGTCGTACACCATCTGAAGGTTCACCTTGTGGCCCACCAGCTCCCGGATATTGTTGATGCCATATTTGATCATCGTCGGGCTTGGGGGGGCAGGGGTGGGGACATGGTTTAACACAAGGTCAGGTCATGCCCTCTTCTGATCAGAACCTCTCTTGCCACCTTCCCTGGAGTAAAAGCCCCAGCCCTCCCTGGGGCTCAAAAGGCCCCACACCATCTACCTTGTCACCTCCCTCACCCCTATCTCTTCCCACTCTCCCCCTTCACTCACTGCCTCCTCCCACCAGTCACACTGGCCTCCTCAATGTTCTCCATACATAGCAGGCCTGCTCCAGCCTCAGGGCCTTTGCACTGGGTATTCCCTCTGCCTGGACCACCCTTCCCCAGATATCTTCACAGCTTACCAATTCAGACACCTCCATGCGTTGCTCAGATGTCACCTCCTCCAAGAGGCCTTCCCTGACATCTCCTTAGGTCTCCCTGCTGTGTTTCTGCTCTAACATAACTTCTGATATTGTGGTTGTTCGGTCACTCAAATCATGTTCAACCCTTTTGTGACCCCCTGGACTGTAGCCCGCCAGGCTCCTCTGCCCATGAGATTTCCCAGGCAAGAATAGTGCAGTGGGTTGCCATCTCCTTCTCCAGGGGATCGTCTCGACCCAGGGATTGAATCTGAGTATCCCACGTCTCTTGCATTGGCAGGCGGATTCTTTACCACTGAGCCACCACGGAAGCCCCATGACACTGCTTTTGGACATACTCTAAGCTTTATTTGTTGAATTTACTTATTTATCTTATCAATTCTCATCCTCCTTGGTCCACTAGCACCCCAGCTTCATAGAGGCAGAGATGTGTGTTGTAATCACAGCACAGAATGGGCATACAGCAGGTGCTCACTAAGGATTTCTCAAATGAATGAATCAATGGAGGGAGCTGCAAGTCTACAGGCCCCCATGCCTGACAAGTCACCTGAGTGAGGCAGCCAATACCCTAAGTGGCTTGGGTACTCACCGCTCCAAGGAGAGACCCCAGGCAATGACTGACACATTCTCAGGGAGCCCCATGGGGAGCAGCATCTCAGGGCGGAAGATTCCAGAGTTTCCAACCTCCACCCACTTCTTCAGACCTGTGGAGGCAGGAACACAATGGGGCGGCTCGTGTGGGTGATACTGGGCATGCCAATGAGTTCAGGAGGTGGGGTCCTCAGGAACAGGGACCTGGGCTGAGCTGTGGGCAACCTGAGACCTCCCTCCCTGCCCCAGTACTGGGTTTCAGCCTGACCTTGGTGGTAACTGAATACTTCCATGCTGGGTTCGGTGTAGGGGTTGTAGGCCGGCTTAAAACGCAGCTGGGTGATACCTGGGTGGGGAGGCAGGCAGAGTTGGGAGGAGAATCGGGCTGATGACCAAGGCATCTTCCTGTTACCCACCAACACCGCCCACTCTGGCCCGCCTGCTCACCCAGCTTGGTGAAGAACTCCCGCAGGACACCCATGAGGTGGCCCAGTGTGAGGCCGTGGTCGGCCACGACGCCCTCAATCTGGTGGAACTCGGCCAGGTGAGTGGCATCCAGGGTCTCATTCCGGAACACTCGATCGATGGAGAAGTATTTGGCCGGAGTGAAGGGCTTCTGGGGGTGACAGGCAGGCCAGGCCCAGGCATGGGTGAGGAGGTCGGTATGACAGCCCAGCCCCTCCCTCCAATGCTGCCAGAGCCCGGCCACACCTTCTGGGCCAGGTGGTAGAGGGCGCGGGCGCTGGATGCTGTGGTGTGTGTGCGCAGCAGGTTTTTCCGAGCCTCGTCCAGTTTCCAATTGTATTTGTACCTTCAGGGGGACATGCAAGGAAGTCCATGATGCAGCTCTTGGTCCCCAGCCTCTTCCCCACCCCAAAGTCCTGGTCCTCCCTTACCCCTGTGAGCCATAGCCGCCCTGAGAGTGGGTCCGCTTCACCCGGTGGACATAGTCCATTGGGAGTTGCTGGGCCTGGGCTGGATCTGGGCAGGACAGAGCAACATCTGGTCAGTCAAGGAGCATTTCTTTGGATGTCCTTGGCGGTCCAATGGTTAAGATTCCAAGCTCCCAGTGCACGGGGAGCCTGGGTTCGATCCCTGGTCAGGGAACTAAATCCCACCTGCCATAACTAAAAATCCTACATGCTGCAGTTAAGACCTAGCGCAGCCAAAGAAATAAATAATGAACATTACTCAAATAGCCACCACAAGGAAAACAGACAGTGACTTAGGCAGCTCCCTCAATAGCCCTCTGTAACTGCCGGAGGGCACCTGGGAACACCTGAGGCAGTCACTCATACCCCTCCTCTGCCAGAACCTTCCCTGGTCCTGCTGCCTCCCCGCTTTTTTTTTCTGGCTATGCTATAGGGCTTCCAGGACTTAGTTCTCCAACTCGGGTATTGAACCCATGCCCATGGCAGTGAAAGCATGGAGGGTGAACCATTGAACCACCAGAGAATTCCCTCCTCCCACTCCTAACTGATCACTTCCTCCAGCCACAGGGCTTCCCTGCCGATCTATAAGCACACCAGGCATGTGCCAGCCTCAAGGCCTTTGCACTGGCCATTCCCTTTGTCTGGAACCTTCCTTCCCCAAATGTAGCTCCCTCTCTCACCTCCTTCTATCTTTGCGTAAGCAGCCTTTTTAAAAACATTTTTGGTCATGCTGTACAGCATGTGAGATCTTAGTTCCTCTACCAGGGACTGAACTCAAGCCCCCTGCATAGTGTACAAAGTCTTAACCAACAGACTTTCAAAGAAGTCCAAGTCCTAGCAGCTTTTATTTTAAAATGACCGTGTACAACCCCCAACACAATGTCAATTCCCCCATCTCATTTACTGCCATCTTGCATCATCATGTTTACAGCTTGTTGTTGTTTAGTCACTAAGTCACGTCCGATTCTTTTCTTGACCCCATATGCTGTCCATGGGATCTTCCAGGCAAGAATACTGGAGTAGGTTGCCGTTTCCTTACTCAGGATTTAAGGCACATCTTGCCCAACGAGGACAAGAGGGTCTCAGGGCAAGGACTTCTGTCTCATTTGTGGCTGTGACCCAGATGTTTAACAGAAAAGTCAACGAACAGGAGCTCAATGGACCTATGCCCCATGAATACGCAAGTTCTTACACTTCCCTTCCTGAAATACAATTTTACTGTACCCAAAAAGCCACACATCCATTCCCAGCTCCACCTCTTACAAGCTGTGACCCTGGGCAAGTGATGTCTCCTCTCTGGGCCCCAGTTTCCTCATCTGCAAAAGGGGGCTGACAATCTACTTCCTGTAGTTAGTAGGAAGATTAGGAGAGTGGCAGCCCAGTAAGTTTTGTTTTGAATAGTTTTTCTGGCTGTTGCAACTTCCATGACCAGGGATCAAACCCACACCCCCTGCGGTGAAAGTCTGGAAACTTTAACCACTGGACCATTATGGATGCCCTCGGTAAGTTCTGGATGCCGTGACGATGACAATAACATTTTGCTCCTGACCAGATAACAGGCACACAGCAGCCTTGTCTGCCCTCCTGGTGGTGGGGAGACAATGACTATTTTAGAAAGTCATGTAACTTCAGAGAGCACTGACAACTGTGGAAGAAAGAAATGGGAACCAAAGTTGAAGACTAGCAGTGAGGAGTTTTTTAGAGCTTGGTTGGACAGGGGAACTTCCCTGGTGGTCCAGTAGTTAGAACTCCATGCTCCTAACGTAGGAGGCCCGGGTTCGATCCCTGGTCAGGGAATTATATCCTGCATGCCACAATGAAGATCCCATGTGCTGCAACTAAGACCTGATGCAGGGATTTCCCAGGTGGTCCAGTGGCTAAGACTTTGTGCTTCCAACGCAGGGGGCCTGGGTTCAATCCCCGGTCAGGGAACTAGATCCAACATGCTGCAAAAAGACTGAAGATCCCACGTGTCACAACTAAAACCCAGCACAGCCAAATAAGTAATTAAAAAAAAAAAAAAAGAGCCGGTGCAGCCAAAAAAAAAAGAACCCGGGCGGACAAGAGCATGTCGGCAGGGGCCCCTCTAAGGTGACATGTGAGCAGAGATTTGATACCAGAGGCAGCCATGAAGACCTGGGAGAAGACAGTTCTCGGCAGAAGGCACTCAGGGCAAAGGCCCTGAGGTGAGAGGAGGGGAGATGGTGGAAGATCACAGAAGTTGACGACAGTAGCTTACACAGGCTTTGCTGGCCACCCTGAGGAGGATGGAGTTTATCCTGTAAGATGGTATGCTGCCCAGAAAGGCTCTGCCCAGGCCCAGGCCCTCAAGTAGCACGGGGCAGCAGGGCCCACCCACCTCGCAGGAAGAAGGTGTCATGCTGGTCGCGTGCTGGGTGCTGCTGGGGCTGAAACAGTGCATCGAAGTTCCAGAAGGAGCTCTCAATGTAATTGTCAGTCGGCATCTCGGTGAACCTGGTGGGAGACAGGATCTGACTGCCCTGCCTGTGCCCCAGGCCTGGGCTGGCCCCACCCCCGGGCCAGTGCTCACCCCATCTCCAGGAAGATCTGCCGGAACTGGGAGCGGACCTTGAGCAGCGGGTGCAGGTGGCCGCTGTCGGGGAGGACGCCGTGGGCCGAGAAATTGTAGGGCTTGAAGGGCCGGTCCCGCCAGGAGCCGCTATGGGGGGCACAGTGCAGGGTACGTGGGCATGGTGGGGGCTGCCTACCACCCTCCCCCAACCAGTCCCCAACCCTGGGGCTGCCCCCTACCTGGAGATCATCTCTGGGCTCAGCTC